ATCATATTCAGTTGAATCATCCTAAAATGAAAATAGTTTTCAGCTTTAATTATAATTTACAATACACATTTTTTTTTCTTTATTAAATATGTCCTGATTTGATCTGACTGACTGTTGCGATGACCAAGCTGGTTGAAGTATATCAGAGCAGTTTCTCATATCACGCAGATTTAGTCCTGATCCGTCCATCCCTGAGAAAATCTACACTAAATTATTGTGAGCTCTCCTCCTTGAAGACTCGGTCCACGTTGTGCGCAGCATATCATTTTGAAGGCATGTGAATGTTCGCTTGGTGAATGTAAAATGAAATTCACACAGAAATCTCCCAGTTTAGACAAAAGATTAAACAGTCGTCAGGAGCTTTTTTTCAGAATGTTCCAGTCCTGTTCGACAAATGATTTTCTCTCGACTGTGTGTTAGTGTAGAAGTGTAAAACTACAGCAGCAGAGGACGCACGTCAGTTTAATCAATCATATTTAACAACAGCACGCTCAGCATCGAAATGAAACAAAAAAGACAAAACACTATTGTATGGACGTATAATTAGAAACAAAATGGACAGATATGTACAACAAAAGCAGCTTTTTTTTTTTTTTTTTTTAGAGATGCAGACGGAAATCTGGCGTGGGCTGCTTTGAGTGCCCGGCCACCTGGCGTCAGCGTCTGTAAGCTAGCTGCTCGTGTCTCAAATCTTTACTCGTATCTCGAGGTTCCACTGTATTAGTTTGATGTCAATATTGGCAGATTCTGCAAGCTGCAGCATCGGTATCAGACTTGATAAATTGTACAGAGCCATCCCTTCTTTATTTGCATATATACTGGCCGGAGAAAGATAAGCTTTGTGCTGAACTATTAGTGACCCTTGATGGCCATAAGCTAACAATTACAGATTACCTTGTAAATACTTTTTGCTGTTTAAGTGAGTTTCACTACCATTATTATTACTCATCTCTTTACGTGATAAAACATGCTATCCAAAAAACTGAATAAACGATATTCTCTACTGTCTTGTTTGTTCCAGAATTTCATGCATGCATAAGTTTGTGTGCGCGCATTCTGAGAGGTTACATCTTCCAGTGATCGATTTTCAAGTGTGCTGTAATGCATTTTAAAAAGGCCCAACACTAAAGCTGTCAACCCTGGGAGGAGAATGATAGAAGCGAGTTGGGAAATGCCAGACAACAAACTGTCTGAGTCTGTCCTCCCCCAAGGATTCTTCCCAGGTGTCCCACGATATCCTTAAATATGTCTCCCTGTAAATATAAAGTCTGCAGTACAGCATCACCTTAGTAATTCTATTGCAGTGTTTGCAGGGAATGTGACAAATGTGATTAGAATCTCTTTTGTGGACAGTCCATGACATGTTTTACATCCTGATTTTCTAGGGTACACAACAAACCAATAATTAGTTTAGTGTAAAATTAGGATGTACTTTCTCCTCCATGTCTGATATTTGAATTTCAGTTATAGAATGCCAGCTCCAACAGGATATACGATTTAAAGTTCTGTGTCATTGACCTTTAAACTTGACTTATTCCTGTTGTATTTATCCCGGAATTTTTTTTTCAACTTACTACAGACTATTGTTTATTTCTTTGGAAGGACAGTTCGGGATTTAGCTGGTTGTTCACAAAAGATTAGCATAAAAATGTCAATTTAAAGGTTTGTCTTTTTATTTCAAGTTACAATATGCATTATATATGTATATATCTATATATATATGTATATATATGCATATATGCGTGTGCTTATATATGTATGTATATATGTGTGTATATATACAGTATGTATATATAGAATATGTATATATACATTCATATATGTATACATAAAAATGTATGTTACCTGAGACACTGAAACTTGCTTTTGTTGCACTGTTGAAAACTTGAAGAGCAAACCCTGTTTCAATCCTAATGGCTTGTTGTAAGCAAGATAAGAGTGATGTACAGCTGCTAATGAAGCACACTGTGGTTGTGTCTCCTTCTGTCAGCAGATTTGACAGCCAACAATTCATTCATTGTTTCCATCCAAGGCCCGACTCCTTCTCTCCCTAAAAGCATCCTTTTCTCTTTTATCCCGGCGAGAAAAGTGATGATCGTAAACCACCGTACTTTATAAGCAAAGGCTTCTGCTTGTCTTCCACTCTTCTGATGTGGTTTTTTTTTCCATTTCGTACCTACTCGATGACATCAGTGCAGGATTCAAATAATAGGCAAAGGGAGTTTGTTTAGTGCCGCTGGCAGTCAGGCAAATGAGCAGAGAATCAATAAAGAGGGCTTATGGTGATTGGATAGAGATGTCGACGTGGCTACTTTAAATCAGTCACTCCATTTTGTTCTATTTTAGGCTCATGCACTTATGTCCGAGGCGCAGAAACACTTACGAGGCAATGATATGAGGTTATGGTGTCCTTGGGTGGCTATGTTTAAAATACAGTCAGTTAAAATGGCATGCTCTGTATGGATGTATTAGGGCCTCAATATAATGGAATATACATAGTGTACCAGATTAAAAACCATAGATCTTAGAGAAGTGAATGCTGACATGTGTTGTCACAGAAACACTACATTAAGACAGTAATTACTGGTTACCACCACAAACACATGCAGTGTGCACTCCCAATCTCCCATCATGCATTCATGTCCATTGTACTGAAAATGGAATTGTTCTCCAGGTAAAAGAGTTCCTGTGACACACCTAGATCTAAAGTTTCTTTCATTATGATATTCTGTGTCTTTTCTCTGTCTCACACGTCGTCATCCTTCCTTTCTAGACATTTGCAAAGACATACAAAAAGGTGAAACAATGTGTGAGCCGATGACATCCGGTTACAGCACTCAGTCAAAGCTGCCAGGCTGGTATGAAAAAGCAGCCTGATGCACACAGGGCTTTAGGAGGACCACATTTTCAAACGCACCCAGTCCTAGATCCGTCTGTTTTATTTCTGCTGCAGGGACATTGAATTTTTTATTCCAGTCCGTCAGAAGTGTGTGTTTGTGTGTTCTCAGCTTGGACAGTGTGTGTTTCCTCAGGAGAGATATTGTGGACTTTTCTCTCAGTGTCATCTACATTTGGCACCAGGCCTCTTTTTATCACTTGCTCTCTGCCTCTCTGATCCTCTCTCATCCCTCGTACAGACGTCTGCCCTCTCTTTTTTTTTTCTTCCCTCCCCTCTCTCATACTTTGTAATCTCTGCACACTCTGGCCTATCTCAGCATTTTTTCCACAACATTCTCTCTCTCTCTCTCTCTCTCTGTCGTTCCTCTTTCTTTCTGTTTGTCTCGTGTTTAACTTTACAGCTTGACCTCTAAGTCTTCTATAAGATGTCCCACTGGCTGCTTAGGAATTCTGCAAACACCAGCGTGTGTCACTGCCACCTCTCACTTTCTGAGATAGCAGATTTTTTCCATAGATCTCGTCTCTCTATAAAACTCGGCCCTGACAGATTGTGTTGATGAGTCAGTCTGCCTCGTATTAAAGCCATTTTCTCTCACCTCTACCTGACTGTTGACTGCAAGAGCATCAACATTTTTTTTCCCTCTTCAGTTGGATTTCATACGTGCATTGAGACATTAGTTTTGACGTTAGTGAAAATTTCAGGAGCAAACATTGAAAAAAAAAAAAAACCATAGCCCGTCCATGCTGATACCTAAGCCCAAATGCTCAACCTAACAACAGTCCGTGGCCTCCGAGGCAGACAAGAATGTATCGGACTGACAGTGTTACATGTCTTTATTCATAACATCCGTTAATCTTTTCTTGGGTTTTCCTCTTTTCCTCTGGCGTGGAAACTCCAATAGTGTTCTTGTGGGAGGAAAAAAATCTTAAATAGTGTTGAGGGTTTTTTTCTTCCTGCAGGATGTAAGGCTAGTTTTGAATTTGTTCATATATTAGCGGCTTTAGTGGGATTACAATTTTCTGCTGTGCATGGTTCATTAACGCCATGTTTCCCTGCAAGCAGTCAACCCCCAGAATGCATCTGCTCCAGCCGCCTGTCCTGCTGCGTAGAACTAGTTTTTACCCCATTAGGGTTTGCAGCTCATGTTGTGAATAATTGATCTTTTAAAAAACAAAAAACAAAAGAAAGAATAAAAGTTTGAACATTTGTCAGTACATTAACTTGGCATCTCTGAAAGGCAACCCTTCTTTCACAGTAGAATCAAACAAAAAATGGTCAAAATCCACATTGATTTATTTCAACTTTGTCAAGTGTTGACAATTACTTGGTTTTATTTTAGTCGGTGATAAATCGCCACATAGCCCTAGATGTTATAGTTTACCAGTTGCTACCATATCCAGCCATTAAGCACAGTATAATGATGTTTTCATGGAAATGACATGTCATACTTTCCCATGAGGCAAATTACATGGTCATTTTTTAAAATTAGAGGAGATCTCTAGAAATAAATTAAAATAAAACACCTTTACTCTACACTTCTGGTTTGCCGGGCCTCAAACAGCGTATCTAAGATTGCTTCAACATATTACGTTTTACAACTTTTCATCCCCCCTCAGCGTTGACATCCACATCCAGTTAGTTCAGCGGCGGCCTGACTTTAGCAGCCTTTCATCTTTTGATTGGCGTAGAGCGGGAAAAACAGCAGATCTTTCTGCTCCCTCATCTGTCAGACCGGCGTGAGAAGTTGTCATCTCAAAACGAACGTGTCCTTCCTCTTCCACAACGCTCTGTATAAATGAGAAGCCAGTCAGGATGATAGATCCGACTCCGTCTGCCTGCTTCCGTCTGCCACTCTGCTCATTTGATGTAATTTAACCTCCGAGCTTCTCCTGCAGACATTTGAAAAGTTCAACGTTTTCACATCCCTGCCGCACAGTGCAAACAAACAGTCAGCAGAATAAATGTGTTCAAGTCGGGCAGACAGTCTGTCATTCTGAAATCATCTTCCTGCTGTTTTCTCATTTTGCCTTATTGTTTAAAACGTGTCGTTGTCATGAATCTCAAAATTAACCAGTTTTTAACCATCTCTTTGTCTTCGTAGGTTTTTAAACTGAAGGCGGTGCAGTTAGCTGAGAAACTACTCCCTGCTTTCAACACCCCCACGGGAATCCCCTGGGCCATGGTCAACCTGAAGAGGTGAGTCCTGCTGCTAGCTAGCTGCTGCTAACAACCGTTTATTAATGCTGTAACTGAAAGGATCCACATCCTGGACTTTGATTCTGTTGACTTTTTTTTTTACTGAATCACACCACGTATATCACTGACTTGTTTATTTATTTCCTTATTTATAGTCTAACATTTACTTACTTTAAAGACGTGTTCCTCTTCTAATGGTGGCTACAAACGTTTCTATGGAAACATTTCCTCCTGATTTTTTATTTATTTATTTATGTGCTTATTTGTAGATCCTCATAAATGACTGACTTTTTTCTCATAAATTGCAACTTGTCTCTAATATTCTTTTCTAATTGTTTTGCTTTATTCGAACAGTTAAGCATTTATTTGAAACTTTTACTGTAGAACAACCACTTATTCCTCTGTCTTGCATCTTTTCATCTTTTCATTATCTGAGCATACATAAAAACAAACAATAAAACTAGATCCTCATCGTGCACGTAAGCCAAGCCTCACGTTTCACTTTCAGATATTTCAAAGGCATTTTGCCCAGAGCTTCTGGAGCCGTACTTTTGTCCCTAATGTATAATTATTAGACTTCTTATTGTCCGTGCCTAAGGCCTTTATGTGGCAGCGTTTTTTATCTCCCTCTATGTGTGTATCGCATGTGTGTGTGTGCTCTTCTGTTTCTTTATGGCTGTGCCGCAAATTTATCCATTTGCTGAATGAAGTGAGGACATGAAGTCAAATTGCTGTATTAGTCTGTTGGCCACTTTGTTGCCAAGCAACCTGGGTCCCTGTGTATGTGTGTGTCTGTGTGTGTCTGTGATTGTAATTGTGTCATATGCTTTGGCACTTTGTGGTTGTTGTGTTTTATACCAGTGTCTTCTCATTTGCTCGGGGTAATTTCAATTTGTTAACAGACAAGTTGCTTTGTGTTTTCGTTTAATCTCTAATCACACACACACCTACAGACACATCAATTTCTGCAGTAATACTAAGGAGTGGCAGTACTGAATACTGCAGAAGCTTCATGTTAAACCTTTTGCTTTGGCTGTCATCTCTTCATTCATGGATGTATATGAATGTGTTCATTACCGTGTTTTCCGGACTATAAGTCGCTAGTGAGAGTATACGTCTCACTAGCCAAAGGATGGAAAAAAGTGTGACTTACAGGAGTAGCATATACTGGTACACAAGCCTAGAGTGCCCACTAGCAGCTGTTAGTGTGAAAATAACAAACGTGAAATTTATAATTTTATTATTTTAATATATAAGTCACACCTGAGTCACAAACCCAGCCACAGAATGGAAAAAAAGTGTGACTTATAGTCCGGAAAATATGCTTATTATAACCTCAACCTCTGACATATCTCTTTCTCCTCACCTGTCTTTCTCTAGCGGTGTTGGCCGTAACTGGGGTTGGGCGTCAGCAGGCAGCAGCATCCTGGCTGAGTTTGGAACACTGCACATGGAGTTTGTTCACCTCACCTACCTGACGGGGAATCCAGCCTATTACCAGAAGGTATAGCTTCTAGAATAAACATGACACATCATTTTTACTTGTACGTTATGGCACTGGATGAGAGGTTTCCTGCCTGTATATGAATTCAGTTTTACACCAATCAAAGGTTTATGAGCACGAACACAACAGTAAACAACCGTCACAGCAGGAGAAAAACAATGAGGAAAAACAGCAGCAAAAATGTCATAACAACACTTTTTTAAAATATCCTTCCCTTCAGACCGTCTTTCAAACTCTGCAGCAGGTGACATTAGATCACTGCTTCAAGCGGTGCGTGTCCTAATGTCACGCTAAAACAGGTGCACACTCAGCACAGCTGCCAAAATGAATTGTAAAAAGAAAGTACAGAATTCGCCGAGATGTCATGTTTACATCTCAGCCGATTAGAGACGGAGCAGATAAAACCTCTGTTTCTGCTGCAGTGAATGCTGGGTCTGTCTATCTGTCTCAGTGGGGACAAAAATGAGGGTTTTGTCAGTGTGGCTGAAGCAGAAAAGGGTGCGCAATATAATAAATATTTCAGTTTAAAATGTATTATATCCAACCATATACTGTATAAAAATGATGTTCAGTAGACATTTTTGAAGAGAGGAAAACCCTGTAGTGGATGGGAAGCAAGAAAAAAAAAGGTTTATAATGTGATTTTCAAGGGATTTTAACAGGAAGTTTAAAACTATGGAGAAAAATCAAAGCATGATGTAACTACAAACAAACAGCAGGTTCCTCTCAAATGCATGTCTAAATTTTGTACAGTCTAAGATATGCACATTTTCAACTTTGAGTACTGTGGTTGTTGCCAAGCTATTATTACATTTCTGTACCCAACACAACCAAAAAAAAAAGTTTGATGTTATTCCTTTTATACTTTGTTTTTTCCTTAATGCCTTTTTTTACATACATGTATGTTTATCTGGTTCTGCTTAAAATGTTTGGATAGTATTTTAAAAATAGTGAATCAGACAAGGGGACAACTTTTAAATTCAGAGGATGAATCTGTCCAGATCAGTGATCGTCAACTGGTGGCCCACGGCCAAAATCTGGCCAAGCGAACCGTCCATTCTGGCCTGCGACTGGTTTCCAAAATAAACATCTAATAATAATTTTAGAAAGAAGTGTGATCAGTCCAAAAAGATTCTGTCCCACCGACAAACATAGTTGGTGACCCCTGTTCTACATTAAATGTTAAATGTTTTTTACAGGTGATGCACATCCGAAAGCTTCTAGCCAAAATGGATCGGCCAAATGGACTCTACCCAAACTACCTGAACCCTCGTACAGGGCGCTGGGGACAACGTGAGTAGACAGGAAATGTTCTTGTTGCAGACGACAGGAGTCAGGTGGCAGGTTGTCCAAATACCACAACAATAGGCAATGTATTGGTATTATCATATCATGTTGACATTCAGAAAACATTGAATGAAATATACATTTGAAAAAAATCAATAGAAGTGATATAAAAATTAGTTTGAAAAAAATTTTAATATTGTACACATGTAGTATAAAACAAAGACTCAGAGAAAAAAAGATTTGTATTGATTGGCACCTTATCGTTGCTTCATTAGTTTCTTCAGGATGCGCCAGCTCAGATATTTTTATACGCTGCATTTTGTTTGAACTTGATCTGAATACAGTTGTTTGAGATTGTGTGCTGTTTTAATCATAAATATATATTTTTTAATTAGTTGAAAATAATTTTTATCTTTTTTGGATCACTTCCTAGACATTTCAGGCAATCCCGTTTGAATTCCAGGTGACCCACATGGGGTTCCAACCCCAGGGTTTAACAACACTGACAAAGACCTTCCAAAATTTTTATCAGGAGAAAGAGTTGGCACTGACAGAGATGCAATGGTTTAGGTTTTTATTATCTTCCTTATCAACCGAATATTAAAATATACTCTCTGTATTTTGTTTGTTTGTTTGGGTTTTTTTGCACTGTTTTTTTTCTCATCCATCAGATATGACAATCCCCTCAGGGTTTGCTCTCCTCAGTTCAGTGAAGGGAAAATGAAAAGATGAAAACTGTTTAAAACTGAATACAGTTTTGTTTGGTTATGTCTGCGGCTTAAGAGAAACAGAGTGTGCCGTATTCCATCTTATCAATTGAACAGCACTCCAAAGTAAATGAAAACTGAGGATAACACATATCTGTGGACTGTGCACAGAGGAGAACGTTCACCAGATGGTCCCAGGCTTTCTGTACATGAGCACGATGAAACCTCCCTGATTTCTTGCCTCTTGACAAAACGGCACATGGATGGATGGATAAAGTGAGGCACTGATTAATGGATGTACAGGTGGCTCGTCTGTGGAGCTGATGTCGGTTTTAAGAGCTGCAGACTTTGGGCCAATAGCAGGATTAAAGTAAATGGAGTAAAAGACGGCCGGAGAAGCGAGTGATGGATGGATAGCGGGATAATGTCAACAGATGGATAGTTAGTTGGCCAACTGCACGGCTAGTCAAGTGATGAGGGGTGTTTTATGTTGCTGTCTGTCTGTTTGTTTGTGAGTCTGTCATTAATCAGACTTTTTGTGTGGTAAGTGGTTCCTGTACCACTTTCTCCAAGTCTCATGCTAAAACTAAAGTATCTTCTTGTCCTTTATCTACCTGTCATCTATGCAGTCCTTTTAGGTATAAAGCTTCTTTTAATGCATTTTTGCTAATCACTGTTTTTATTTAAACCTGGGACTGTTGGAGCTTTAACAGCCTTGTTGAAGTAGTGCCAATCAAACAACCAGAAAAAAACATTTCTACGTCAAAGAGTTAGCACCTTAGTGGACCTTGTGGACGAGTTTAATAACACACAGAACTTTTAAGATGGAGAACTCTGTGTTGTAGCTCTGCCTTGTGTTTATTTACCACCACAGATAGGCAGCAAGTCGAAGCAATTCAATTCTGTGCTGTTTGTCACTGAAATGTTTCTGCAGTTTATTTACCGGGTATGCTATTGTCAACGCTCTTACAAACAGCTATCGTATCTTTCTCTAAAATGCAACCTTACTCCAGACCGCTACTGCCTCGGCACCAGTCCATTTTGTGACAGAATAGGACCATTTAAATGCTGTACGACCCCAGTTCCTGTAATACATATGCTAGGCCAGTATGTGGCGCTGGGTCAACATGCTTTAACAGACTAAGACTGGAACAATTTGAACCGGAACTCGAAAGAGAAGCATAAAAAGACGATTATTATTATTTAACCTTAAAGAAGTTAAGGTTTAATAATTTGTTTTTCTTTACTGAAGATTTGTTTACAGTGTATAGGAGTAGAAACTCTATCAACTTCGTAATGAGACAATGTTCATCCCTGTGGTTATGTTCTGTTACATTTGACTTTGCAGTGGAGATGAGCGGGCATTAGCAGATAGTGCACGCCAAAATGATCCTCCGTATGCAGACATATAGGCGAGCAGATTCCATTATCTTCTTATACCAGTGACGCCAGCTGGTGGGTTCTAGTGAGATTCTGACAGGACTCGATTGCATGAACAATGTAAAGTACAGCAATGCAGTGATGTTACAGTTATTAAAACCTTGAATCAATTCTAGGTTTTATTATTCTGTGGCTGAGTGCAGGCACTGTGTTCAAGTTCACCGTTGTTTTCACCAACCAAACTCAACCGTCTGTGCCTCTGCTCAGCAGTTTGCTATAGCTTTGTGCTTATACGATTTAGCATGTTCCTCCACCACATGTGCACGCAAAGACTGTAGGTATTTATTGTCCGGCCGCAACATTTACGGAGCTGACCAACATATTTTGACACTGTAGATTTCTTAAAGCGCCAAATGCTGCTTTTACAATGTTTAAGTGTCATATTTGTCTACCCAGAAAGGTCAGAAATATTAGGTTGGTAACAGGAAAATAAATCCTCACCAGCCTCACCTTGTTTCTAAGCACCTCTATTACTGCATGTTAATTGTGATCTTTAATTAGCACATACTAATTAGCTGCCTTCTAACCTTGTTGTTCTAACCACTGGCTAATTACAGCAGGTATAACACAAGCTTGATTAGAGTTTCAAAACAAACCCGAGCTTTCTGTACTCACTACAGACTTATTTATATTGAAGTAACGACTCTTCATATACGAAGGCCTGTAAACGTTGATGATGCTGCAGCTTCTGGGTGCTTCACTTTAAAGGCGGATGGATTATTTACCCTAAATTTATTACAACAACACCGTCTAAGTTTTAAAGCCTGTGTGTTTCACGTTCACCACTGCAACCATTGTTTGTCATTGTGTTCAGTGCAGTTGGTTGTAAATGCTCCTCCATTAGCCACATTTAGTCCAATGGTGTTGACATAAGAAAGTGTGTCCCGTTAAGGGCCATTAGTGATTTAAGATGTTCATTATGTTACAAGATATGAGAGCGCACATTGTATTCACTAAGTCTCACAAAGGGAGGGAGCATTTTGTTCTCTTCACTTAATGGAGATCCAGGTCAAATGAGTTCATGTGAGAGGTGATGGCAACAAGGAACACTGCTGTCCTATGGTATACTTCAGAACATGTTTTTATTTGAATCACAATGTCATGATTAAAGTAACAATAAAAAACACTAGGAAAAACAACAGTTGATAAATACATATATGGACAATGCATATATACATATACATAAATGGATTGAAAACAGGTCAGAAACATTACTAGACATATGTCGAGTTTTGGTATTTTCGGCAAGAAAGAATATTTGCAGAGTCACAGAAGTTGATGATGAAATGCCAAATACTGTGAATCTCAAGCAAGTAAAATTGAGTTTTTATTTTAGGGGTTACAGGACATTTTCCAATCATTGAAAAAAAGCCCATGGCAGAATGCTTTGCCATAACATTGTACTCATTGGAAATGTACAGCTTGATGATATTTATATGCGTTGTATAGAATATATAACAGCGATACATATATATATATATAAACATCACATCCCTTTCATATTTTTTTTTCTAAATGCTAGAATGTTTTTCTAAAGTGTCTTTGTCACAATAGAGGATCTCTAAAATGTTTAGGAAATCCCAGATAAAGTCAGTGAAAAGGAGCACATTTTTCAGTCGCTGTATCTGCAGCAGAGTCACTCAGGGACAGACGTATCCTTTGGAATTCATTACAAAGCTACTTAGACACCACTCTCAGGATTAGCTGGAGCTTCTGTGAGGGGAGGTTCACTGTAGATTGATGCACACCGATATCTTGGCATTAACATAATACAGCCACATTAAATCTGCCCGCGACAGGAGCTGCGGTGGCAAGTAAACACTCGGGGGGTGGGGGGGTTTGTTTGTTTGTTTGCTTGAGTATAAATTATGATGCTAAAATAATCAAATTTAGATGAAAAACCCCTGTGACAGCAGAGCGTTTTGACTGAGGTTGTAATTTATGCAGTAGTACAGCTGTGATGAATAACATCTGGATTGTGTTTATGTAAGGCAACAGAAACTCTGGACTCGACGAACGTGTCACATCATGTCCCGTCTTGTGGCGTGTGTAGGTGTGTAGACGGTAGTTAAACCACACTAATGAGGAACGAGGCTGAGCCCTGCTGTCTTAATGAGATCTGTCTGTGACTGACAGCCGTATTAACATGCACACACACATACGAAAACACACGCACGCGCACACACTTTCTTGTCTCTCTAACACTCTCCCTCCTACTTATATTGACACACGACCTTTATACACACACACTATATAAGTTAACTTATTATCTCTCTATATCGTTGTCGATCAGGTTCTTCTCATGGTACTCTGCTTTGTCTTTTAATCTGCTCTATATAAAAAAAGCATATCATAAGAGTGCCTTGACAAGAGTGGTACAAAACATGCGTAAGAGTATTGGGAGTATTGAGATGTGCAGCCAGAGGGAAAGATTGGTTTTGAGCAGTGTTATTTTTTTATTTTATTTTTTCAGTTTGCAGCACAGAAAATAACTTAGATTAAATACTGAATGCAGTTATTTAAAAAATGTTTTTGTTTTTGCTATTTTATTATATAAAATATAAATGGTATTTATTCTTGCACACCAAATCAAACTTATTTTTAATTCTTCATCATTGTAATGGCTCTCCAATTTACACCACAATTTCTTTTTTTTTCATGCAAAAAATGCGATAAAATGTTTAGTCTGATTAACACATACATATATAACAAACAGACACTTTTAGCACCGAGCCATTTGACCTTAACCTGTCATTGTTGTTTCTTTAAACCTTGTGAAATTTTATCGGTGTGGAGACCCGCCTCTGATTGACAGAAGCCCCCAGTTTGACAGAAGCCCTGTGCTTGGCCTGGATCTGTTGATTGGCAGTAAAATAAGAGAGAAGTCAAGGGGAACGTGTGTGGGCAGATGATAAGAAGTAATATCGTGGGAGGTGATCATGATACGGGGGAAGTTGTTATAAAATGGCCACTGAAAAAGATAGTTTTCAGTTTCATTTTCTTTATTTACATGTAGTCTCTGTAGCTCCTGTCTTTTAATGTTCTCCTGCGATGTGCTCACCTGCTGTAGACCCAAGTACAAGAAGATAATCATTTAAGGGTAAAAACACCAATATACAATATGTCTTTATGTCCGTGTGCACTCATAACAAGTATAACTATTTTATTTAATATTCTTTTTCACTCTATCAAGCACTTTTTTTGCGATTCAATTGGGAAACATTCTGATGTTTTGCTAGTCTTTGGCAGGAAGCCACAAAATTTAGCTAGAGGCATATTTTCCATGTCACAAGATCAAACTGATATTTTCTAACTGGTAGGTTAAAAAACAGTATATACAGAACATTTGCACGATACATACTGCATATGCCTTTCTTTAACCTACCAGTTACAAAATATCAGTTTAATCTTGTGACATGGAAAATATGCCTGTAGCCAAATTCTGTGGCTTCCTGCCAAAGGCTAGCAAAACAGTGGAAATATGCACGCTTTCATCCCGGTCATGTTTGTTGGTCGTTTGTTGTTTTATGCTACAAAGACAGATCATTTCATTTTGTACACTTGCGTCTTTAAACACAAAATTAAAAGCCAGATGAGCCCAGAGCTAATCTGACTCATTAGGAGCGCTTCAGTGTAGCACGGCTAATGCTGCGTAACACCTTCTAATGTTGTCACTATTCAAAAGCCATCATTACCTAAAAAGAAACTTGCCTAGGAGTAATTGATGTCATTTAGTCCACTTCTGGGTTTTGTTGACTCAGCGACGTTGAAGCTTCACATCTTTCCAGTCTGCTCATGTATATAACCTATTGAATATCTCGTAATTGGGTCGATGCTGAAGTGAGTTCAACCTGCACTAAATTTACTGCTTCAATTTTTTTCTTCTTTGAGCATGTCTTTACTTCGCTACATTCATGTAAAACCACCTAAGGAAAATAATTTGTTGTGATCACATTCAAATCTACTCCCAAATACAGTAGGACTGCAGTATATTTGCTGTTTTCACCAAGGGCTGCAATGAAAGTCAGTTGTCATGTCTGTTCATTTGACTTAATGAGTAATTGAACAAATGTCTGTTACTTTGCCATTTGTCATATTCGAACAGTGCGGGCAACAGTTGTCATTCATTTGACCATTATTTCTGCGTTTGGGGGTTTAAAATGGAAAGGAAAATCAAAGTGTTGTCCCAGTGCTATTACCACAAACACGATCAACATAACGCTGTGGTCGTCCATAACTGTCAAAGAAGAAGGCACTCACACGTCCTCTGAGCAAAAGTGGTCACTTTTTCACTCAAGCGTGTAATGAGTCAAAAACTGCTGAAAGTGGAGTTTGATCACGTAATGGGGGTTGAGTTGAGTTGTTTTGTAATCTCGCGCTAATTGTAATAGCAGTTAGCGGTCCAGTCTGATTTTGCACTGCTTTTGCGCATTGTTTTTTTTTTTTTAATTTATGCTACTACCCACGCACATTTTTTACGTATTACCAACAGGACAACTGAACAGTTTGGTTATGAACACACACACCCACAGTTCATCTTCATATATATCAGTGGATTGTGTGTGTATGCTTTATCCACCAACAGATCAGGCTCCTGACAGTTTCTTTGCTGCTCAGGGCTGTATCAGAAAATCAGGGTTGATTCAGTTTAATCTAGAGAACACTGTTGTTTTTTCGTGGCCAGCAAATTATCCTAATTAATTTTATAAGTAGAATTTCAATTTATTTTTATTAGACGATCAGAATGATGTCAAAAATGGTGAGTGAGTTTTTTATGTGAGAATATGACCTTTCAAATAAATGTCCATGAGACCATGAGAGTTTTTGGAGCAGGCCCCAAATATCTAGCAGTATTTTGGCACCGTGAGCCTAAACTTGGGGTTGAATAAAATATTAGACCCGATGTGGTCGTTGTCTCCTGCACTAGCATAACACTGCAGCGCAGATCCAAATTAAATGAATCTTTAAAGAAGTGAAAGAAACTTTCTCCATAATCATCACTTCCACCGAGCTTTAGGAGAATGCATTTACAAGTCCTTGTTTATTTCTACAAACAATCAAATATAAAACAGAAATATGTTTATAAAGTATAATTACTTTCCATAAATGTGCATTTTTATTCTAAAGATGAAGTAAAATGTTTAAGTCTAAAAGAAGAGAGAGAATGAAACTAGAACAGTTTTTTTTTTGTCTTGTTGTTGGCTAATGTCCTGTCCTCACTGTATGATGTCCTCCAAATTAGGACACACTGTGAAAGCTGTGTAAACTTTTTTAAAAGAGACAGTGGGGGGGTATTGAAATGTACGGAGATGAAGGAATGTGTAAACAAAAGAGGAAATGAGGCTTGCTTTTAATGCCATGTGCTGTGCTCTGCCAAGGACTTTGAAGCACAGCAGTGGAATGAATAATTTACCTGGGCTTCCTCATTTGTCTGTCTCTCACTGTTTTCCGTTTGCTCAGTCACTCCTTCACCTTCACGCTGCTTTTTTCACCTCATTTCTTTTGTTTTGTCCCTCTCTGCAGATCACACTTCAGTGGGAGGACTTGGAGATAGTTTTTACGAGTACCTGCTGAAGGCGTGGCTCATGTCAGACAAGACGGACACAGAAGCCCGCAAGACGTACGATGACGCTATCGAGGTACGGACCAATCAGGATTTGGATGCTCAACTTGAAAGAGTAGCTTAGTTTAGTTATCAGACAATAACTGTATAATGTAATAATGTACACAGGAAGTGTTATAACAAAACAACTCAACACTCTAAAACCAGGTTTCAAGGTTACTTTTTAAAAAGTGAGTGTCGATGGTAAATTAATTTTCCCGTACTTTTGAATAGAACATGACGCCCACTTGGCAGCAATAATTAAATTAAAGTTTAACCAACATGTTTTTTCTAACAGCTTTGTTAAGGGCCAGTGCTAGAAACAAAATGTGATAAAATAAGCACTTCAATATTACTGAGCATGTCAAGATTACATCCTGCTAATACTATATACCTGATAAATCCTTTTTTTGATTATTTTATTTTTATTTTTTAATCTGTTAATATGATTTTCCATTCAATCTCCAATCAATCACTTTAACTCTGGGCCTTGTGCTGGCCCGAAATGAAAATTCTCCACTTTTTTTCACTTTTTTATCATTCTTCTCTGCACAAAAGATAGATAATCTGTGTGTAGGAGCGTCTTCTGCAGGAAGTAGACAGTGAAGGTCTGTAGCTGGTGAAGATAGCTGTCAGTCAGCGGGAGTGTCAGGATGTCAGGGTGAGAAGAACTCCGGGGTGAAGGATGTGACTGAATTGGTCTTTTTTTAATTCTGTATTGACTCTCTCCAACCCACACACACGTGCACTTAAATTATTTCCAATTTCCTCGTTTCAAAATGTGTCTTTCCAAACATTCATTTTATCTGTCGTCACGTATCACCTTGATTCTTCGTTGCGTTCGAACACACTGGCTCACTTATTATTTCCTCTGCATCTGCTTCACAATTCTGCTGACCGTCCACTCACCCTCATTTACTGTCTACACACACACACACACACACACACACTCACACACTGTAGCTTTCCCCTTCCTACAGGCCATCGAACGCCACCTCATTCGTAAATCCAACGGCGGCCTGACATTCATCGGTGAGTGGAAGAACGGCCACCTGGAAAGGAAGATGGGCCACCTGGCCTGCTTCGCCGGCGGCATGTTTGCTTTGGGCGCTGATGGGTCGCCCGATGACAAGGCCGGACACTACTTGCAGCTGGGCGCCGAGATCGCACACACGTGCCACGAGTCCTACGACAGGACAGGTGAGGATGATCAAGTTGAAGTACAATCTTTATCCAAGCAGCACTCATTGCTTGTTTTGGTAAGATGCCATTGTTACCAAGGCAACCACTGACTAGTGCAGAATACTTCTCTGAGCACATTTGAGAAAAGTCATTAAAAAGTGTGTCATTATGGTGGTGGTTATTAATTAGTATTCAGACACCCTCTTACACTGTTTATTAGCATATAGCTTTTAGCTCGCCCAGAGAGAAAAGTCTCTGCTGAACTGATTGACAAACTGTTTTGATAACAAATTTCTACCGAAGTATGTGTTTCAGGGTTAACTTAACTATCAAACTAATTCATGTCCGGTGAGTTTTAGTTTTAAAAAGGTTCATTCAGGGTCACCATTAATTCAGGTTTTATTTTTGTAGTGCATCAGGTGGCTACTTTCTGTCTGGTACAGTATAATACATTTTCATTTGCACAAAGCATAAAAAACAAAAATGACCTATTCAACAGTGACCTTCAGATACCCACCTGGGATGTTTTCCAATAGGCATCAAAAGTTCATAGCAAAGAAACAGCAGCATTTTGACTGCTGGCTGTTTGTGTGTGTGTGTGTGTGTATGTGTGTGTGTCTGTAAGAAGTCGTGAGCAGGCTCGAAGGAAGTGTAGCGGTTGCTGTGGCAACCGATGAGCACACACAATGGGTGTTGAGAAGGGGAGATGGGATGGAGAGGGCTTTGAATGTGTTATGGTGTTTGCTGACAACACTTCCTAATCTTAACCACAGCTGTGCATGTGTGTGTATCATAATCATTAAAAAAAGGGTCACTGCTGCCAGTTTTTATCATTTTATCATTGATATAAATCTCAGACGTACAAGCAATAGGGATTGATTTGAACTTGTTCCCTTTAATCGTGTGTTCATCGTATTTTTTTCCCTCCATCCTCTTCACTTCTTTGTCTTGTCCTCTCTCCTGTCTCTTCTATGTCATTTCCTCGTTCTCTGAGCTTCGGATTCTCCCACCACTCCTCTTCTCTTTTCTTGTGCCCTTCTTTATTTTTAATCGTTCCGTTACCTAACTCCTGCTCAAACTTTTCTTCCTCATTAAGTGCTGAAGCTCGGCCCAGAGGCCTTTAAGTTTGATAGCGGCCTGGAGGCTGTGGCTGTGCGGCAGAACGAAAAGTACTACATTTTACGGCCCGAAGTCATCGAGACCTACTGGTACATGTGGAGGTTCACCCACGACCCCAAGTACCGGCAGTGGGGCTGGGAAGCAGCACAGGTAAGGAGGATACACTTTATTGTCAAGTGTTTTATATGATTTGTGACAGTGTTTTCTGTGTGAGAAATGGAACCAGCGTTCACAGAGAAAATCTCTATTTTTGGCACCAGGCTACACAGGAGCTGCTGTTCTACGGCTGCTGTATGATCAATTCTTGTCATTGAGGAAACCTTAGAGAGAGATTTAAAACCTCAAGGTTACACATCCTATTTAAGACTACTAGTGTCTGCAGGAGTGGATGTTTCAAGGATGTGAAATTGTTTATAATGGTGTAAATCATTATTCACCTTTGAGTAAAAGATAAATCATGTCCCGACTGCGAACTTTTAATTTGTTTTCCAAAAGACCTCATATTTACTTAAGGACATTTTGCTAAGTTCTGTAGAATAAAGTTTAGCATGATTTTAGCATTAGCAAATGACCATGTTAAAGCAATTGCTATATGTATCAGTGTCTCAGACGGCAACACTTGAGCAGTTAATCACCATCCACTAATTTGTGTTCAAAGGGAAGCGAGTTCCTCCATCAGTCCCATGGTAAATCAACCAATGGTTCTATGGTGACATTTATCTCACTTTTCAGTCTTGACAACTGGAAGCCATTCAGCTCAGCCTTCTCTTACACATTTCCAATTAACCAGTACTTCTTTTTCTCCTTTTTTACCCGTAAAACATTGTGAATAATGTAGTCTATCTGACTGCTATTTTCCCGTGAAAATAAATTTGCAGCTTCGTCCTAATCTAGTCTTATCTTCCAGATGAATTTATTTGCATAAATGAGTGGGTACCTCTAAAGAACATAACTTAAACCCAAGAAAAGTAATAAATAATCCCAGCAGGAGGCAAAGAATGGCATCGATGTGGAATGTCACAAAGTCAAATGGGCATCAACACAGCTGTTCACGCCTCCTTTCCTTTACTTCAGTTTCCTTTCTTTGCTTTTCCTCCTCCACAGTTTTACATTTGGCCCAGAAGCCTTACAGATTGACGGTAGCCACTGGCTGATGGGATTTGGCTTGATTGATCCTGTTGTATACAAAATAAGTTTTTGCTCTGGCAGCAGGGGTTACTGACTATAAATCTGACCTAAATCTGCATTGGTCTGATTCAGATTGCAGGTCAACCTTTTCCATAGCAGTTGCCTGACAGGGATTTCGATTAGATCAGTGGATTCCTTCAGGTGGTATAACTTCTTTATTCCCCCTGTGTTTAAATATGAAAAGCCGGGTAAAAGCATACAAAAAGAACAAAAGCTCCAACACTCTCCTTTTCACTTGACTCCTTTACTTTTCCTGACACTGGATTAAAACCCCTTCAATCTAAGATACCAGTTGACGTGTCTGAATCTGAGCCCGCCTGCAATGTCCTTTTATTATTTCTCTCACACTCTGTACTTCATCGTCTCCGTTCCCTCTTTTCCCAGCAATCCTCTTGTCAGCCGTTCCATTTACCTTTTGGAGCACTCAAACTGCTTTCTCTGGTCTCTGTTCAAAGGCACGTATTGAGGCGAGCCATTGTGTTTGCAAGTGTTCTAATGAAGTTTGATGATGGAAAATATGAGTGGCAATGAGAGAACTGAGCGCTGAAAGGATCGGCTTCGCCTCTGTTGCATTATTTAAAGTCATTTGCTCCATACAGGAAGTTGACAGGACTGGTTGAATATCCAGTTATTGTGGATAAATTGTAAATTAAATAAAAAAGATTGTGCGCTGTCTGTAATTGACAGATGAAGTGGCGGCAAACATTACTGACGCCACATCGCCTGCAAACATCATTTTTGTATAACATTTTTCATTCAGTGAGAATTAGCCTCAATAAACGTGGATGTGACATTACATCTTGAACCAGCAGGGGGCTTCAGGTGTTCTTCTGTAGCCTTACTGAGAACAGCAGAATGGCTCTTCCCAGTATCTGTCTAGTGTTCGCGGACCTCGACGTGTATGTATTGCTCCTATTGGTGTTAGTGACACTAGTAAATCCTGGAATGGTAATTGATAATGCTCCTATCCAGTACTGACTGTTGTGTTTTTGAAGCTGTCTGTGAATTGTTTCACGTGGTACATTTAAAGGAAAGGTGTGTTTATGTGCCTGTGCTGAACTCACATCGAACACAAACGGTCATTCCAGCGTGTAATTGTTCGTAACGAGTGTTGGTAATGTAATGTGGAGACAGACAAGGACAAAGATAATGCATTCGCTCGCATATGTTTGTAGCGACGCACACCCTGAATGTTTATGGGGGCACCATGTGTTTTACTGTAACAAGTCCCTCCCCACAAATCAATAGAGGGCCCAGTTATTAATGCGCTGTCGCCATCACCAGCTGGACGACTGCTGCATTTTTAATGAGGATGTGCGCTCGTGTGTGACTCTGTGTTTGGATGCACACACGCACACACACACAGCGTCACTAGAATATTTTAGGGTTAGAGGACACAGTTTTATTCCCTCAGAGCCAAAACAAGAGCTGGAAAAAACATGCCGTACACCGAGTGTAGTGAGAGGTTCACTGCTGTCAGTATAGAATACTGAGGTCCATGTAGATGAAGAGAATATAATATAACCTGAGAACCTCTCTGATTAATAATTAAAGCTGAAGGTAGCAGGATCACTAGAGGAGCGGTCTACAGCAGGTTCATCCTAAGGTCATTAAATTACCTGTGACCACAGCTCTCCATCCTGATCCCTCTCCCACCACATGAGCCAGGACAGAAGCAGGTACTTCTAATGCAACAGACACCACAAGATCACCTTCTGTCATGTCTGCTGCGGTGTAGACACGTGTTAGGATTAGGGATGGATGGCACAATCCAGTACTGGTTAAACTTTCAGTATCGAACATCGAAAAAAACAACTGTAAGACATCCGATCTGATAGCTAAGCCCAAGTGCTCAGCTTAACTTTGATGACATGGTGTTAGCAGGGACACTATCGCCTCAGCATCGGCAGCCAATGACATGCAGGAGGAGAGAAGAAGGTATCAGATTGATATTGTAGTCATCCCTAGTTAGGATTGCTGAAACAGACGTTTTAGCCAGGTTTGGCCCATGTTGCACACGTTTCACGTTTATTTGGCCCACATATGACAAGAATTGATGGCACCTTCATGGTTCACACATGGTTACTCACAGCTGTGCCACATGTTGATAGGGTTGTGTGATAAATCCTTAAAATCACAAGAGACCTGCTGTGTTTTTAAAACGTTAAATATTGAGATGTAGTTACCAAAAAATGTATAAAGAAGAAAAATGGGTTTTTGATTGTTGTGAATCCTTTTTTGTTTGTGTTTTTGGTAAGAGAAAAACCACATTGTTTCTTCCACAGTAGATCAACTATCTTTTCTATTTAAATAAGCAATGAAAAAAGGGGGGGGGGGGTTATTGTTTTATTGTGCATGCTGTAAAACTGCTTTGTGCGAACTCAGTGTTAGGGAATAAAAAAATGAATTGCGGGGGAGGCAGAGTCAGGTGTTAATTGCATTAATCTCCTTCTCCCAAAAAAAAAATTATGGCTGTTTTTTTTTCCCACATCTCCCCAGGCCTCACTTTAATCTGTCATACGCAGAGAAATTAATTATAGCGCACTTTTGTAAGCTTATTAACTTGTGCTCTCCTGGACCCCCTCCTCTCATCTGCCCCCCACCCTTGCCCGTGTCCTTGTCTCCTCCAGGCCATTGATAAGTACTGCAGGGTGAGTGGAGGTTTCTCTGGGGTGAAAGACGTCTACTCCTCCAACCCCACCTATGATGACGTGCAGCAGAGTTTCTTCCTGGCAGAAACCCTCAAGTAAGCCTTCGCTAATCTGACAATTTGTTGTCTTCATTAAGATTCAATCATCTGTGCAGTATGACCGACACTCAACTCACTTAACAACGTAATTCCCGACACATTAAATAAAACCTCCAGAAAATGTAGTTTTTTTGAAACTGAGATGTTTATGTTTGTTTATGAGATATTTTTGGCAACTATTTGCTCACAACAATTTTCTTTTTAGAAATAAAAAACAAATTTTGGCCAAACAACGAATACCTGAGGCAGGAGTTTGAAACTTTTTTTTTTTTTTGAAAAGTTTTTATTGGGTTAAACGTTCTGAACTACACTATACAGCCAATGGGCAAAAAGCAACGTATGCATTTCCTGTATTGTAAAATCCACTTAGATGTAGACTGGCGTTTCAGCAGCTGGATTTGCAGATGTTGCAGGAATCTTTCACCTAAAATAATAATAAAAGAAAAAAAACCCAGTATTGAGTTTCTTTCGCTACAGATAAAACCCAGTGACTATCGCTCTAAACACCTTAGAAATAGCTGCAGGATTTTGTCTGACTCACACTGTGCGAGTCAGAAACTTCGATTTGGGTGAATAAATAAAAAACAAAAAAAAGTGCTCCTATTTAGCTTTCTTTTTTTCTTTGGCATTTCTGTGCAGTCTATTTGAACAAAAGGAACAATTATAGAAACCAGAATGATTTCCTTTTAAATAAGGGATGTGCAGTATAATAAAATGAAAACAGTCAAAGTGTATGTATAGGTATTGATGTAGTATTCTACCCTGTGTATAGTATAGGTACTAACAAAGGAAGAAAATCAAATGTTTACCCCAGATAACAGTTAGCCCCATAATGCTGTACCTAAAGGGTAGTTTCAAGGGAAGGATGTGTGAAATAAACCATTAACTATTATATATTAGATATAGTGAAATATATTAAACCACCACCTAAATATTAAACAAAATAGCTTCAGTTATTAAAAAATAAATTTGATACAGCTCTGCAAAACTTTTTTTTTTTTTCAGAAAAAGCCAAAAAAATTATGAAGATGCCTGATTGGAGCCAAGATATATTTAATATTTTATCATACATTGCTGGGATGTATTTAAAAAAAAAGTTAAAATGTAGAGCAGAAATGATTTTAATGTAAGTCAAACACAAGCATTATTATTAAAAATAATAGTAAAAGTTAAACACCGTGCCACGATTGGATGCAGGGCCGTAGTTTGGAAACACAAACTGTAATACATAAAGGGGATTTGTCTGACTTTGTCTTTCCCACTGGACTGTTGTCCATATAGTCTGCTTCTTTTCCATCAGGCTGCTAATGTTATGGTAACGCACAGATCCCCTAAAGTCTGTGTGTGTTCAGCTGTTATCACTGCTGCTCCTTTAAGGCTAATAGCAGGCTAACACTCCATCAGAGACCTCTGCTCAGAGGCCTGTGTGTTTTCTACTCCACCACCACATGATCATGACTGACGCAGCACAGACACCTCTGCGTTATCACATTATCACCACCGTCACTGATGAATAAAGAGTCCACGTAAGGCAGAGTATGCTGTCACTGCACCTCTCTGCCTCCCCCTGTTGGCAGACTAGCGATACCTACTCATCCGTGTGTAACCGCATCTGCCGACTGTCCTGAACTACCAGGTGTCCACAGCTGTAACTGTCAGTCAAAGCGTCTTACAGGTCAACTGATGATCAGAAACCAGTTTTGAGTTCCAGTGTCTGATCCCTTTCCAACGCTTCCTTTTTTTTCAATTCTAATGGGTTGGAAACTGACGCACACAAAGCATCAAATGTCAGTGGAATTTGTCTTTGGTGCGTAAAGGTCACTTGCCACGCCGACGGCTAACTTTTGCGAGGCGTTGACATTTGTATGTCTCCCACTGTTGGGCAGCCTCCGGTGTCCCACAGTCGCCATCGCAGATCTGTGGTCGACACATCGCCGAACTGGAGTTGCGGCTTCTGCTCTGAGTCGGCAGTAATGCGCAAAAGTGCAGTGTCAGGACTGGAGGTTCATGCTACGAGTTATTACTTAGAATCACTCTTGACATTGTTACTGAGAAAAAAAGGCCTCTTTGGACTGCTGGGAAATGTTTATGTCATATTTAGCAATGTCAATTTGTTATTCATGATTACTCATCATAAATTATGTGCTTGAATAATCATGATTATTCCGCAGCTACCCTGTCGTTAATCTGATTAAAAATGTGGAGCGAATGCCAGAGTGTTCATTTCTGTCGCCTTGTACAGATTCACTCTTAGTTTCATGCTACACTGGATAGAAGTGGAACATTTCAGTGGCTTGAGGATAAAGTAGAATTGAATAGGTCAGTGAGAGTATTGAAGGCTTTCACTTCTTGATGACTAACAGTCCATATGCATTACCAAACAACAATTTTTTTTATTTTTAAAAATCATTTCTAAAAGGAGCCCTCCATTAGTGTTTTTTTTTTCTCCCAGGTTTTTCATCCTGCTCCACGTTAACACTGGTTCTATCCGGTTTTTTTTCTCCTCCCTCCATTGCCCTCCTACTCTTACCCCTTCCGCCTCCCCCCTCACCCCCCCTTAGGTACCTGTACCTGTTGTTCTCCAGCGATGACCTCTTGCCTCTGGAGAGTTGGGTCTTCAACACAGAGGCTCACCCACTTCCTGTCCTCCACCTGGGCAACATCACGCTGCCCGGCAGTGAGCCGGCTCAGCAATAAACACACACACATACACACAGACCCTCTTTCTGCTCTACGGCACCTGGGCTGGGGGCGAGGGTGGCGAGGGGCACGGGGGCGGGGGGCAGCGCATCATTTGTCCGCGCTCTAAATTAAAGCCCACCCCACCAACACCGGACTGACGTACATTTTGGTCCACTGCTCACGGACGGCAGACATCAAACACAGGAGCTGGAGACACCGCTCTCCTGCTCCGTCTCCTGTCTTCTCCAGTCAGAGGACAGAGGTTGTGCTGCCGCACGGTCGGCTTCGATGGACCGAGCTGAGAAAGTGGTGGTCGGACAAAAAAAACGACGACTTTGTTTGGTTTCTTTTATTTTTCCGGTTTTATTGACCAATCTTTCCTCCGGACTCAGATATGGCACTGAAAGTGTTGGTGGGTTTTTGAAAGGCCAGTTGGACACTGGTACTGATGGAGGTGTGGGTTTTTTTCAGACAGTGGGACTTGAGGACTTTACAGGGTCCCTGGATGGTTTTTTGTTCCTACTGGTCCTGATGGGGACACAGGGTTGAATCAAAGCTTCTTCTTGACCCAAACTCTAAATCTTCACCCTATTATCCCTTCATCACATGAACTTGGACCTGGAACTGTTAACAGCTCATCACGTTCTCAGCATCACAGCAGGCAGTGGAAACACTTTCACTTCCTCAAAGATTTTTTTTTTAAATATCTAAAGAAAAACAACGTGGACCAGTGTGTGTAGAACAGCAGCAGCAGGTGGACAGCTGGTCTCCTCGTCTTCACCTCCTGGTCCTCCAGTCTGAGATGTCCAAAAGCTGCAGCTGTTGACCCTGTGACCTCCTCGCAGCTTGATTTGACACTGCCCCGCCCCCCCTTTGTTTCCACATTTTTCTTATCAAACTATCACAGTTTCTCTGCAGCTTATTGTCTTTTTTCTCATCTGTGCCGCCGGCTGATTTCCCAGCTTTTCATAAATCAACTCGCATCATTTTCAGATCATTCACAGTGAGATGAGGTGTGTGAGTATGTGTGTGAGAGAGAGAAAGAAAAGGGTGGAATGAGTAGGTGAGTGGGTGTATTGTGGTTAAAATAACCCCCTGCTGTAAATCATTTCTAGGTGCACTTTGTATGGAGGGAATGATAGTCGGAGCAGAGGAAATGAAGACGTCCCGTGACACATTTTCTCTGCTCCACCTTGAATCACTATCACTCTGCCACCTGACTGTAGGCATCATTAACTGAAGCGCTGTCATTTTCATCCATCATCGCCGCTCTTATGGGCCTCCTTTCTCCTCTGTTTCAACTTGTCCATCATCGTAAAACTTACAGAACCTTCATTCTCAGGGTTCTCATGTGGCTCCAAAAAGTATGAAACCGTATTTCATGTCAGACAGAGATTCTAAATCTCCCCAAAGTATGGCTGTCACTTTAGCCACAAAGCAAGTTGGAAGGTCTATTGCGTCAAATGACCCATTGAAACACACACACACACAAAATAAGATGTTATTCAGAAGTTGATCTTAGTGTTTATGGAGATGTTTTTTCCTACCACATGTTCTTCTTTTGTCGGTTTATTTTAGTGCCCTGGGCGACTGGTTAGCTTTCCTGCTAACAGCTAACGATGTCTGGAGTCTGCTTTAGGCTAAGGCTGCACTACTGTGGTAAAGAAAGGGTGAGAGCACCCTCTGTTGGATCACAGAGTCCATGGTGGTGTAGGTGGTACAACTTCTGATGATAAAGTGACAGCCCTGTTATACAGGGGATACAAATGTGGACTCATTCTGTTAAACATCATTGTTCAGACAGAAACGAGAGAAGTGACATCTGTGATGATCATTCCCCCTAACAAAAGTAACCATTTCTCCTTAACTTTCCATAGGTAATTAATACATTTCTTCAAATCTCAAATATCGCTTCGGGTGTCTTCAAACCTTGCTTCCTGTGTTGACCAGTGGTTGGGACACACACAAAAAAAAGTCATTATTTCCATAATCACTAAATATAATAGAACATTTCATTGACAATGATGACATCACACGTGCTTTGTTTGAACACAACCCAGTGGTTTTTATGCTTTTGCTGGTCCAGGTGTGTGAGTGTGTTATGAGTGAGGGGTTTATTTGTTTGCTGTAGAAGCATTTTTACTCTGAACTTCCCTGTGTCGAAGAGACGGAGCAGGTTCATTTAATTTATGATTATATTTTATAATTTATGATTCATTTTTGTCATCATGCAGTTGACCACCACTTTAGCATAGACGATTTTTTTCAAGCCTTATGTCAAATATGACGCTGCACCAAGTGTGCATTTCCGCCTGTGTTTTTTGATCGTTTTTCGATTTTGAAGTCAAGATGAATGGGGGGGGGGGGTTCTGTTCTTTTGCACCAACATTTTCCTCTGTTCCAGAGAACAAAAAACAACTGACATTAACATGAAAAACCTCAAAGAAAATAAAAAAACTCTTCGCTCATCTTTGAAAATTAATGGACGAGAAGCCCAACAACTCCCCCTGCTGACAAAGAAATGTAATAGGTTATCAGTCGGGACAGAGATAGTCACATTGACCAGGCCGTGGTTTATCATCAAGTTCCTTAAAAATGTTTCCCCAGACATAACCTTAACTGACCTTCAATTTAAACGATTAAATTTGATAAAACAAATAATCAAATTATTTTTTTCCTTTATTTATCTGTTGGATTGAGCTGTAACTGTGCTCATCACTTGTGATCTGACTACAGCATCACATGTTGTGTATATATGTTACATTTTATTTCCTATCCTTTTTACCTTTTTTGCGCTTCCATCATTATCTTTTCCCTCGACCTCTGCTGGCAGTTATCATTATCATCTAACTGATGCTGCACAGCTTTGGTTACTGAATCACCAACCCTTCGGCTCTGACGTCACTGATATCATCGTCATTATCACCACCAGTTATACCCATTAAAGAAAAAGGAGGAACTGGAGGCCTCAAAATTGATTCACTGGGAGCAATGTTGCTTTTGGAGAAATGCGTGTTCTGTATTTGTATTTTTACTTATCTAAAGAGAAAAATAAAATTAAATATCTGTAAATAAGTTTAGAACTGAGACAAAGTCATTAAAGATGTTATGAAAAGTGACCAAAAATTGAGACTTTGTGTTTTGGTCTTATTTTTGTCTGTGTTGAGTAACCAGGTCTGCCAGATTTGGCCCCCCGAACCTGAGTTTGACACCTGTGCTGTATATAATATGTTTAAGGCCACTAAAAAATTAGTTACAAAATGAAATATTTTGTAAAACAAATCACTATGTTTATTATCAAATGTTTCAGGATTAATGACAATGGCCTCTGCATATAGAGTATATAACGCAGCCCCTTGTTTTGAATTTTACATTTTATTATTTACAACTAACAGCTCAGCTATCAGTAATTTATCCACGATCCCTTAAAGGTAAGTACATTACGTAGGTGGACTAAGAATCATGCTTGAATGTGAAATATTTAACCTCAAGCTATTTCAAAGATATTCGCTATGGGCGATTTACAGACTGAAATTCAAGTAATGCATATAAAGTTGTATAAGATTTTTAAAAAACTGATTGATATAAAACTTGTAATATTATTTGCCAGTTCATATTTATTTTGATGTACATTCATTAACTGGGGAAGGATTAAAAACCTAAACACCCTTTTTTGCATCATCTCTTCAAGGTTTATTCATGACCCAAGTATTCCTAAAAGAGCTAAATTTATAAAGACACTAACGAGAAGATGGTATTTTTATTCATATGGCTTTAAACACCAAATTTTTGTTTTTCGTTTTTTGTTCGGTTGACATGTTCAACATCAAACACGACAGACGTTCCTCAACCAATATGGCCGACGCACTGACGCTTTCACGTAACGTGAAACGAGAGTTTATGTTGCGTCTTCGTATATTTGGGCTCGTTTCTTCGTCCGCCGTCGAGACTCGGATAATGAAAGAAGTTAATGAATTATACACTGTACGGCCAGCGACGCTGTCAATATTCGAGTTGTCCAGACCTGTTGACGACTTCAACCTGGGTGGGAAGAGATAGAGAAGGGACGACTCATGTACCGGAGCCGTGTTCGTTGCTCCGAGAGCAGCTAATGGCTGGGACGGTTGTTGGCGTGTAAAAGCAACACAGCGGGAGTTCTGCCGCCAGAGGAGGCTGTTTATTGTTAAGCTGGAGTAAGTCTGCACACACCTGCACCTTTCTAGATACTTATAAAAGTCAGTGTTTGGCGAAGCTAACGGGGTTAGCATTTACAAGTCTGGGCCCAGCATCACAACCATATTGCTCCGGGCAAGAAAAATATGTATACACGGCTAGTCCTTTTGCTATCCTGAAATGTAAGCCGATGCGGCGATAAATTCGTCGCTGCCGCCAGCGCTTACGCCTAAAGTTGCCGCCATATTAGTCCGGGCATCATTAGCTCGTACTCAAGCACAATACAATTTGTAGAATTCTAGACTAAGAGCACATTACAGACAAAATAAGTAAGTATGACAATGCGGCTACTGATCATAACGAGGACTGTAATGATTGGTTAAATAGTTAACCGCTACAAAATAAAATTCTATTCAAATTCAATTCGTTTTGAGTACGTTTTCATTATTCAAAGTAGGTTCGTGGATATAAATAGAATCAAAATAGGCGGATATATATACATATATATACATTTGTTATGATACCACTACTCTCAGTAGACACAGGAATTACTGTGTCCTACCTTGTTAAATAAGTACAACATGAACATAGATCTTCTTTTAATTTTTCTTTCTCTCCTTCAGGTAATCAGCACAGTTTCTCCTTGAGCAGGAGAAGTGATCCTTAGTATGGACCTGGAGGAGTCAGAGCATCCTGGCGTAAAAAAAGAAAAAAAGGAACTGTGTATAACACAGGTGGCCAATGATGTCGTTGCTGTGACTGTGAAGAGTGAAGATGTTGATGGAGAGAGCTCAGATTTTCCACAGTATCATCATCACAGCAACAAAAAACACTGTCTAAGACCAGAACCAGCAAGGAGTGGACATTTAATATCAGGTATGTGAATCTGTGTGGGGATGTCTGTGTAGGTTCCAAAGCATCACATCCTCTGCCCGGAGGCTGCTGGAAAGTTCTGGTATTTAGCCTCAATTAGCCTCAAGTGTGTTATAGTAAAACAAAAGGAGCTAACTGCACCATGGTAGGATGGTGTGTTCACTGCTCATGATGTGATAGCCTAAATGATTATTTCTCAACAATAACAAATTCAGTGGTCATAAATTTGGTGTCAAAACAAAGTAATATAATGTCTATGAAGATTCCCAGTCATCCAGGTCATGGTCAAGGTTGAAGAGGTTGTTCTGTTAGGCAACTGGATGTGTAATTTTCTCAAAGAAGACGTTTCACCTCTCATTCAGGAGGCTTCTTCAGTATAGTGTAAAATCAGTATAAAGTACTATAGTGTTTTTCAACCTATATTACTTTAGGTTGAAAGTAATATAGGTTGAGCATGTTTGTAATTTACACACTGACAGCCACAAGAGGGCACTCTAGGCTTGTGTACCAGTATCTGCTACTCCTGTAAGTTGCACTTTTTTTTTTCATCCTTTGGCTGCTACAACTTTTTCTCCTGAGAGACTTTTTTTTCTTTCTTCTTCTTCTTCATTATGCATTTTTTGGCTGATGCAACATATACACCAGAGCAACCGGTAGTCTGGAAAATTGTGCCAAAATCAACTTGTCTATTTGATATGTTGTATTGCATTTTACTTATTTTTTTCCTGCAGACTACCAGCAGCCTGTAATCAAAGCAAAATTGTCTTCTGGGCAGCAGGAGTGGAACCTCAGTTTGGACAAGCCACAGAATCCACACATTAAAGAGGAACAGAACGAACTATGCATCACACAGGAAGAGAATGACATTATTGCCGTGACTGTTAAGAGTGAAGAAACTGAATTGAAACCAGAATTCTCACTTATTCACCGTGTAGGACTGACGAAATCAGGCTCCGACGGATGTTCAGTACAAGGTACCGAAGATGAAACTGAAGTTTCATCTGAGAATGAAGAAAGTGAAGATAACTGGAAAGAGATTGGTGATCCACTAATAATCCAACCGGTAAAAAATAAAACAGCTAGCCTTTCTGAGTGTGACAGAACATTGACGAGTCGGTCGTATCTGACAAAACGCATCACCAAAACTGTAGCGAAACCTTTCTCTTGCTCTGTTTGTAGTAAAAGCTTTACAGAAAAACGTTATCTGAAGAAACATGATAAAATACACACAGGAGAGAAACCATTTGGTTGCTCTGAGTGTGGTAAAAGTTTTGCTGAAAAGAGCAGTCTGAGGTCTCATAAAAAGATTCACTCAGGAGAGAAACCATTCCTTTGCTCTGTGTGTGGTAAAAGTTTCATCAAAAAGAGCAATCTAAGAAAACACGAGAAAATCCATACGGGCCAGAGACCGTTTAGTTGCTCCGTGTGTGGCAAAAGATTTATTGAAAAAAGTGACGTGAGAATACACGAAAAAATTCACACTAAAGAAAAACCATTTACTTGTTCTGAGTGTGGTAAGGGATTTGTCAAAAAATGTCATCTGATCTCGCATGAAAAAATTCATACAGGAGAGAATCTCTTTAGCTGCTCTGAGTGTGGTAAGAGTTTTACGGAAGAGAACAGTCTACGGTTACATGAAAAACTGCATACAGATGAGAAACCGTTTACCTGTACTCAGTGTGGCAAAAGTTTCATCCAAATGGTTCGGCTGAGGAAACATTTAAAAATTCATGCTAGAGAGAAACCTTTCACTTGCTCTGTGTGTGGGAAAGGTTTTACTGAAAGGAGCATCCTGAAGTCACATGAAAAAGTCCACACTGGCGAGAAACCATTTTGTTGTTCACAGTGTGGAAAAGGATTTATTCTAAAGAGTGAACTGAGTAAACATGAAAAAATCCACACTGGAGAAAAACCGTTTAGTTGCTCGGTTTGCGGTAAAAGTTTTATCAAAAAGAGCAACCTTACATCACATGAAAAAATTCACACTGGAGTTAAACCATTCAGTTGCTTATTGTGCTGCAAAAGTTTCACGGCCAAAAGCAGCCTTAAGTTACATGAAAAAATCCATACGGACGAGAAACCGTTTAGTTGCTTAGTCTGCGGCAAAAGGTTTGTCCAAAAGATTCACCTTAAGAACCATTTGAACATCCACGCTAGAGAGAAACTGTTGAGTTGCTCAGTGTGTGGTAAACAGTTTACGGATCACGATAGTAAGATGTTGCACATGTCAGTCCATACAGGGGAAAGTTTCTTAAAATGTGGAAATACTGAATCATCTGAGCCTCGTTCCAGCCTGAGTGGAGTGTTCCAAAAAAAAGCAACTAGAAACTTAAGTGAACTACAGAAAGACAGACTTGTTTGAAAATGAAGGATGAAAAGTTTCTTCAGTATAAACAACACAGTTACACAAAAATCAATTCATGTTCAGAGGTAAAACTGTTAACATTGTGTATTCTACTCTGTATGAAGACATTTTTCTTTGCCACAAGGACAGTGTTGTAATTTATCTACATTATTGTAGATTAAAGAAATCGCAGGCTTTTAAGATTGAGATCCTTGTTCCTTTTTGAGTTCTTGAATGAATGTTATGGTACATTTAATTTTTTGAGCATCAGTAGGTTTAATCAGCTCTGGCAAATTTACAGGACTCTAACAGTACAACTAAGGTGGCCTCTCATCATATTGACTGTAGGTTTAATTCATAATATTGGCTGCTTTTTTGTAATGTTCATCGTCACAAACTGTTATGTTAGCCAGCAAGGCAAATGAAACGAACTATTACTTTCAAATCAACGAAGAGTTCGATTGAACATGTATGTAGTTTAGAATTTGGAAACAAGTTTTGTGTATATTTTCTTAGAGCAGAGTAATTAAGAAAATGTATTTATTGTGTTAAAAAAGTGATTTATTTATTCGTTGTGTTTGCAGTGGAGCGCTGCATCCAGCACGGACCGCGATTCTAGATGGAAATTTTGGGCCATGTACTGATGAGGACAAAGATTTTTCTAGTAATTTGAAAGGTAACTGAAAAACAAACACGGGTGTATACAAATGTTTTAAGTCCTGTTTGCACTGGTGTGTGTTTGTTTATTTATTTATTTTTATTATTTAAATTTATAAAATCACACCTCATGTCATTACTGTATCCACATACCCACAAGACATTGACAGGAACTAGAATCCATTAACAGAATTTTGTAAAGGACAAACTTAACAAACTTAACGCATAACCTAAATTATTGGTTAAATGTTCAGTAGTTTTCCAAATGAAAACCAGACAAAATTATCTTTGATGTCTATTATTAACTGCAAATAAACACCAAATGTTTGTGGCTTTAAAAAAAAGACATT